AGCAACGGGGCGTCGCCGAGCAACGGGGCGTCGCCGAGCAACGGGGCATCGCCCAGCAACGGGGCATCGCCGAACAAATCGCTCAGCGAGCCCGACGGCGTGTCAAACGCACCCGCCCCCCCTGAGATGTCGCCCCCTCCGAAGATGTCGAGGGGAAAGGCAGAGAGGAGATCTGTGGAAGGGTCGGGACCCCGGTCGGGACCCCCCACCGCCGGAGGTTGTGCGAAGAGACTATCGTCTGAGCTAAAGATGTCGAGGTCGGCACAGCGATCGCCCGCCGGGCTGAAGGCCTCGGTGAAATCCGGGGTGTCGGCTGGCCTTGCGGGGGCCGAGTCCTGAGGGGCGGGTTGATCTGACCCTCCGGCCCCGGCTGGGACGGGCTCTGAGGGGGTCGGGGTCAGGGCTGGTGCAGAAGCAGCCGCCGCCTCACTGGGAGGGGGCGACGGTGAGCGGCCTCGGGCGTCGCGGGGCTCGGAGGGTGTGGCGGGATCAACGGGGGGGCCGCCTGTGTCAGGAAGGAGGTCCAGCTTTGGCTCGTCCGTGTCCGTCTGACCGGCCGCCTCCTCAGAGACGGCTGGACTGAGGCTTTCTCCAGAAACATCTTCCTCAAACGGAGAGTTTGAGTTTGCTCCGGGCACCGGGTCCGGTGACCCCTCCCCAGAGGGATCCCGGTCTGAGTGGACCTCAGGGAGACCCTGCAGGTCTGGAGCTCCATCTGGAGCTGGACCGTCCACGGGCAGGTCTGGTGCTCCCTCTGGAGCTGGACCGTCCACGGGCAGGTCTGGTGCTCCCTCTGGAGCTGGACCGTCCAGGCGCAGGGCTGGACCGTCCGGTAGGGGGGTTGTTTCTGTGGAGCTGAGGGAGCCCTGGGCTCCAGGCCCAGCGGAGTCCGGCCTCATGGGGGTCTCGGCCTCCGGTCCCAGAGAGGCGGCTCGGGGTGGAACTCCCTCCTCTGGGCTCTCTTTTGCCCCGGCCTCTTTTTCTTTGTCTTTGCCCTTCTCTTCGCTGGGTCTGGAGGCTTCTGAGGAGGACTGAAACAGCCGCCCCAGGAGCCCGCCGGCCGGTTTGACCTCAGGCCGCCTCAGCTCGGCCTTTCGGTCGCTGCCGCTGGACGTGAAGAGCTTGGACAGAGGGCTCTTTCCTCTGGACAGCGATCCCAGTTTGGTTCTCGAATTTGTTCTTCCAACAGGCTTCTTCTGGTTCTTGCTGGCGTTTCCATCCGTCCTCTCCAGTGAGTTCTGACTCCTTTCAGGGACAAGCTCTTCTCCGCTCCCTTGACCCGGACCTGGAGGAGTCGCTGGATTCTCAGAATTTTCTGAATTCTGCGGACAAACTGGATCTCCTGGAACAGCATCCAGGCTCTCGGTTGGATCCCGTAGTTCCGCATTTCCTTCGGTTGAACTTGGAGTTTGCGAGGGGCTCGGGGAGTTGGCTGTGTTCTGGGCCGGTTCCTCGGCTCCGGCCGGAGCTGTGGGACCTTCCTGTGGCGACTCGGGGCTGCCCGGCTGGTTTGGCTCGTTGGCCGTTTGGCTTTGACCGTTATTCCCGGGAATTTCAGGGCGCTCCTCCTTGTCCTCGTCATCCCGGATGAGCGGGTCATCCTCGGTGTCGTCACCGGTTTCCGTCACGTGGCTGGATCTGCTCACGGGACCCTGTTCGGAGTCGCCGCACGGCGCTTCACCTTTGACCCCTGGGTCCGGCGGGCAGGCTGCCTCCCGCTCGGCGACATCGACACTCGGAGCGAAGCGCACGGTTTTCCGCACCTTGCCGGGAGCGGCTCCGGGCCGGCCGGGCGCCGGACTGTGTTTTAAAGCGGAAGCCAAGTTTGTCTCGACGACTTTCTGACCTTTGACCCCCGTGGCCTCTTCAGAAGGGGCCACAGGGTTCACAGGGTTCACAGGCACCGCTGCGGGGGCGTGGACCTGGAAGTGGCCGGCTCCGGTCGGGTCATTCCCAGGAGGCGGGGTCTCAGACGGGGCGGGGCCGTTTGTCCCGGGCTGCTCTCCGTGTCCGTCATCCCTCGCCTCCTCTCTGTGGCGGCGTCCCCTCCAGCGCTCTGGAAGGGTCACGGGGTCAGCGGCCGCTCGGCCGATGTCAGACATCTTCTTTTCCAGCGCTGGCAGGGGGGCTCGCTCTGACAGACGAACCCCGCCGGGTTTCTTCCCTCCCGGAGGCCATTTTATTTTCAGTTTTCCGTTAGCATCCGTTAGCTCTCTGGAGGGCGTTCTCGCCACGGCGGCGTGCGCAGAAGCGCCGTGCGCAGAAGCGCCGACTCTGCGTTTTGCCTCTTTGGGAGCGGGCTTGGCATCGGGCTCATCGGCGCCCTTATCTTTGCTGAGCCAGCGGTCTTTATGCTGCACGTGCCCGAATCCTTCATCGTAGTTTCCCTTCCTTTTAAAAAGCTGCTGGTAGTGGGGGACGCAGTAGAACTCCCCGTAGAGAGATGAATAGTTGTGAGTGCTGCAAGAATGTGAAAAGTGAGAAATAGTTGAATCATTCAGTCACTGTGGTCGTTTAGGAGATCTGCCTCAGAAATTATCACCGATTATTTCACCTGCGAATCCCAGAATTAGATCAGATTTGTACATTGATTATAGTATTGTATATATTTTCTTTCCTCTGTTTGATTTATTGTGCTTTACTATGATTTATAGTATCAAAGCGATCAGATAATGTCGTTATTAGATTGAATTTTCGTGCATGATTCAATCAAATTCAATTTGAGTCGAGGCCTGATAAAGGTGTCTCACCTGAGCTTCTTCTTGCAGTATTTACAGCAGAAGCAGTTGTAGTGCAGTGATAGTTTATTGACCAGCATTTTTTCCACGGGATAGACGGGTGTTAAGCAAGCAGAGCACATTTCCTTGGCAGGATACTGAAACTGAGATGACGAAAAGAAACGCAGTTCATACGGTACTTCGGGCACAAATTGGGAATTTGTCAATGTGATTTTTCTTTTTTTTTCCTCTTCTTAAAACACACAAAAAAGGATGAATTCAACTATGAAAAAGGGAGAAAATAACTAAGAAACTATAAGGAAGAGCTACTGAAATGACTGAGGAGTGAAGGGGGTTTCTGACTTAAAATAAAGCTGAATCGGATCAGTCCAGTTCCTTTTGAAAACCTCCCTTTAAAAGCTAATAAAGTTTTGATCTGTTGGTCTTGGCTGCAAGTAAAATGAAAAAAACTACTCCAGAATCTTTTAACATATACTTTTTTAATGTTGTAGAAAACGTAAGATTAAAAAATGACTGGTTTTGCTATATTGTTTAACCTGTACTAAATTGCAGTTTTAGATGAACAAACAATTTTTCCATTCCCAAAATGAAAAAACTTAATCTTTGTTAATTTAGTGAGACGGAGTAAGCCTGGAATGCTTGAGTGATCAATCAGAGAGCTTCAAACTGAGGGAATACTTTTTAAAAACAGTCATTTATTTGACATTTTATGTAACAGAACATACAAAGTTAACAATATGCTTAGCTGGTACACTTTATCCAATGATTATAGTATAAAATCTATAAGACAGATGTTTTTTTAAATTCTATTCAAAGTTAACATTTTTCTCATAAGATCAGTTCAGACCTAACATCAACATTCAATTAAAACACAGTTGGATAAATACACAGAAGAAATAATTGTGGTTTAATGGTTTAATGGACTGCGATCACAGGGGATGAGGGGCGTCTCTTCCTAGTGCTTTTCCTTAGATTGACAAAACGTTACAAAGACCGTCCCTTCCTGGTTGGAGCTGCGCCGAACTTTGTCTTCAAAGAGATGTCCCGGTCTCCTCGGCGAAGGGGGCGCCGCGGCCTCGTATGCCGCCGGACCGCCGACCACTTCAAACACGGCGGGCGCTTTACTGCCGGAGTGGTTGGTGACAAACGTGGAGGTGGTGGAGGACACGAAGACGTTCCCGAAGCCGTCGCTCTCCTCGTAGGTCTCGCTGATGGTCTTGGTGCCGATTATTCCCGCCGCCGGCTCCGGCACCGCCTTCACCTCCAGGTGGCTGACCTTGCGCTGGGGGCCCAGGCCATTTCTCGGGACCTCAGAAGCCTCCGGTTTGGGTTTTGGGTCTTGGTTGACGTGGTCGGGTTTGAACGTTGACATGGCCGGCTTTGGTTGTTCGGAGGGCTTCCTCGCAGAGTGGATGGAGATGAACGACGGGGAGGACTGAGAAGACTGCCGGATAAGTGGCTTGCTGCAGGCCTGTTTGGGCCCTTCTTTGGTGGGAAGGCTTCCACCCGAATCAGCCGTTCCTTTCACGCTCACCGATGTGTTTTTCCTCGACACAATACTGATCTTCCTGTTATTGACGGGTAGAAGATTTTGCTCGGATTTCAGCGACTCGTCAAACAGTCCCGACAAGCCTGCGATGTCAGCCTCAGATTTTAGATTGGACACAGAATAGAGAGCTTTCTTTATTGTTTCCTCGATGTCGAGAAGTTTAGATAATGTCTGCTCCTTTAGCTTCATGATGTCCTTGCTTGCCTTCTCCAGATCTTCAAACGCCATCTCGACTGAGGAGATGCTTTCCAGATCGTCGTCCTGAGCTTCTGCCTCGACTTTCTTTTCCTCTACTTTACTTTGCTTGGCATTTCTGCTTGGTTTAACCATCCAAGAGGGGACATTTACATATAAGGTGTTTGAGGGGCTGTCATCCACCGTGCAGGCCTCTCCCTCTATCTCCTCCACCTGAGACAGGACGCCTTTGAGTTCCTCTCGTTTCCTTAGATTTTCAAAGATTTCCATGGCCGCATTCATATTTCCTTTCATGATCTCATCCTTGTGGACTGACAGCCTTTGTCGCCTTTCATCCTCTGTCTCCCTGCCTTTCTTCTCTCTCATAACCACTTTATCCCCAGGGTCCTCTTCCTTCCGATGGGGGGCTTTTTGCTGGGACTGGCTCATCTCCACTGAACCGTAAGCCTGTGAGGTTTGGGTCTTGGGTGGGTTTTGATGGCATTTGCGTTGTTCCTCAGCGGTTTTGCCAGCTCCTCTGTTCTCGCTAACAGTACTGTTGATGACTTTGACCGTCTTTGGTCGCAGCGCTCCCCTGTCCAAAACCCCTCCGTCCTTTCTTTCGAAGTTCTGCAGCGCAGCCTGCAGACTCATGTTCATCTCCTGTTTCCCGTCCTCCGCATGGTTCTTCATGCACATCTGTATCTCCTCAGCTGCATTTATTTTCTGGATCACATTTCTCTCTATTTCCGTTTCTTTGCTGTGGGACTTTAGTACCAGGCGGTCGGATGTTGTCTCTGTGGAGGGTGCCATTTCATGTTTCTGCTTGGTTTCACCTTCGTTGGTTCGGGTTGAGTGTGTTTGACGGGAGCTCCCTTTACTGGCTTTTTGACAGGGTGCCATTTCTTGTCGTTTATCTGTTGAGTGTGCTGGAATCTGTGGGCTTCGTTTTGGAGGAGGCACTGCATTTGTCATGTTGTCTTCCAGGTGAGAGATGACTTTGGGAGCAGGGGTTAGTGAAATATTTGGTCCTTCCACAACAACAGATTTCATCCACTGGGGCTTCGGCGGTAAAGCCGGCTTCTGCTCCTTCGCTCTCTCATTCTTTTCAGGTGGTGGTGGTGGAGTAACTCTTTCAGAAGCGGCTGATTTAGACTTTCCATTTACTACAGGGCGGGGGGTAGGAGTCTGTGTTGTGATGGCTGGTTGTCCTTCACAGGTTACTGAAATTGAAGGAGATAATTTTGTATCAGACGGAGGCACAGACACCACAACACACTGATTGTGAACAGTCTTGCTCCTCCCTGAACAACCTTTGCTTGAATTCCTGTATATCATTGCAGCTTTATAGTCTCCTTTAGACACATTTACACTAGACTTCTCAAGAGATTCCAGAGCCGACTGCATGTTTCCCCTCACAATATTTTCTTTATCTAGGAACTTTTGCTCTGTCGCTGCACTCTGCAGAGATCTAATGGCTGCCTTCACATCTCCTCTTACAACTTCCTCTGCTTCATCTTCAGTTGTTTGGCCATTAAAACAGTGACCTATGTAAGACGGAGGGGAATCCTGGGCATGATTGCTGACTACAACTGCCCTTTGTTCACAAACCTCAAAGGAGGCATGGCTTCCCTGATCCTTCTCTGCAATACTGACCTTTGGATAAGTCCTGGCTTGCTGGCATCTGGAGGAGGACGAACACGCTGACTGTGCCACTGTTGAAGAGCTTTCCGCTTGTGCCGACGTGCTTATGTTGTATATCTTTCCGGGGATAATGACCTCCCGCTCCATGTGCATGCTTTGCTGCTTGGCCATTTCAAGTGACTTCTTAGCTGCTTTCACGTCCCCAGATACAATAACCTCTTTCTGAGACTGGTTTCCCTCTACAAAAGGATCCTGGGCTGACAGGTCCATGTCATAGATTGTTCCAGGTTTGACGATCTCCCGCTCCACACACATGCTTTGCTGCTTGGCGCGTTCTAATGACTCCAGAGTTGCCTTGATGTCACCGGGTACAATTTCTTCTTTCTCCACAGAGATAAGCGGCTTTACAGTGAGTTGCTGCATGGTTGATGTGATGTCTCCAGGGATTATTTCTTCCTTCTGCAAACAGCTATCAACACTGGCGGCGCAATCTGAACAAAAGACCCTTTTGGTGTTCCTCACATCCCCTGGCAAAACATCACAAATGGTCCTCTCCACCTGCTCCTTTTGCTGGCAGAGGCTTCTCTTTGCCTCCCTCACACCCCCCTCAATCGTTTCAATCGGCTCTTTGGCCACGAGGCCAAGATCAGCTTCACATTCAGAATCTTCGGCATGAAGGTTCTTCAAGTACTGCAGATCTCCTTTCTCGATGCAACTTTTGTACAAGTTCACGTTTCCCTTCTCGCTTTCATCCACTCTACAAAACGCTGACGCCCTCTGACTGTTGGCTGTGGCCAAGAGATTTCCAATAGTAGATTTAACATCCCCCTTCTCTGTAATAAGACTCTCCGTTTTGGTTTCACAGTGGCTGATAAGCGAATACACCAACATTTCTGCCTGTCCTTCCCCAGTTTCCTGCATTACGATTCCCTTTTTCATGTTCGCGTCATAAATCAGCGTCTCATCAATCGTCTGGGCGATGTTTCGTATTCTTTGATCGCTCTCTATGCTGATGTTTGCGGCTGACTCCAACACTGGAAGTTCCATTACTGTAGCGTTAAGTTTACCCGTTTCAGCTTCTCTCAGAAGAGTAACCTGAGGCTTGAGCGTTGGTTTGAGGAGGAGCTGCAGCATGATGTTCCGGATGTTGCCCTTAATCAAGTCCTCTTTCTGGATCTGCACACTCTCCTTGTTTTCATACAGATATTTGGCCATATTGACACTCCTGCTCTCAATTGCTTCTATTATAATGCCACTCGAGTGAATGACATCCATTTCATGTAAGCGCAACAGGGTGTCAGCCACACTGGTCGTAGTGATTTTGTCCAGGGGAGTGGTCTCAAAGAGCCAAGTTGTGCACTTCACGTCAGCTTTCGGTATCTCCTCAACACCTTGGACTGAGGTGTCTTCGTGCTCTTTGATCTTGTCCAGCTGCTGCGACTCAAACAGCCACGTGCAGCGTTTCACGTCTCCCTTTTGGCTGTCTTCCCTGTGGACTGTTTTCACGGGACTCTGCTCCTGAGGTTCCCCTCTCAGGCTGTCCATCGCCTGATTCTCGAAGAGCCAGGTGGAGGTCCGTACGTCTCCACGCTGGACATCGGTGACGCTGACCATCCTGACAAACTTGTCACATGACTGGCCTGACTCAAACATCTTTTTACTCTGCTGCACACTACTGCTTCCAAAGTCCTCCGTCACCCTGACATAGGGCTCATCTGGACTGGTGAAGGAGTCCAGAGGCTGCGTCTCAAACTTCCACCGGGCTGATTTCACATCCCCTTTCTTGACGTCTTCTTGGGTAACAGCTCGGATCACGTACACTTCGTTCTCCTCCTTAATTGCATCGAGGGGTTTTGTCTCAAACATCCACCTCGCTCCTCGTACGTCAGCGCTCATGACTTCTTCCTTTTTGACCGTTGTCACCTCGTGAAACTGGCCCTCTTTGTCTCTGATGGCGTACAGCGGCATGGACTCGAACATCATGGTACTCGACTTCACGTCCACGTTGCTCACAGGCTCCTCCACACAAGCCGGCCTCTCCTCCAGGGGTTCCTCGTGGATCTTGTCCAGTGAGGAGGTTTCAAATACGAACTTCTTGTTCTGCACGTCGCCGCTCTCGAGAACTTCGACTTCTTCCGTATTCGCATCAGCACAGTCCTTGTTGATCTGGTTCATGGGACAGTTCTCAAACATCCATGTGAACCTATGCACTGAGCCTTTTTCGATGTTGTCGTCCTGGTTCTGCTCCCCAGATGTCGCCACCAGTTCGGATCCTATTTCGTCGAGGGATTGGGACTCAAAGAGTTCTTTGACTCGTGAGACATCTCCAGACTGAAAGTCAACCTGACTGATGCATCTCAGATCTAGTTTGGAATCTGAATTCTTTCGAATTCGATCCAAGGTTTCTGTTTCGAAGAGGTGTTTTACAGTTTGGAAGGCAACTTCGGATTTGACAGGATCCTGGATGGTGCTGCATAGCTTCAAATTGTAGGGCTCAGATTCTTTGATGCTCTCCAAGGGTTGGGACTCAAACAGCCAAGTGATGGACTTAACATTGGTGCTGTCAATGGAGTCTTTATCTTTTGGTTTTTCTGACTTGTCATACAAGATGTCCATTGGTTTTGTCTCAAACAGCCATTTACAGGTCTTGACGTCCCCTTTACAGGGCTCTTCTTCCGTAGAAGGAGTTTGCTCTGTCTGATTAAACTTGCCATGGATCCCGTCTATTGTCTGGGTTTCAAAAAGCCATTTTGCCATCTTGACATCACCTGCGCTGTCCTCCTGTCTGGTGATTCCCTTGATGACCTCAACACTTACGTTTCTCTCTACCAGCTGATCTAAAGGCTTGGTCTCAAACATCCACTTATAGTTTTTTACTTTTCCTTTGATGGACTCCTCTCGGCTGACCGTTGTGACCTCATGGAGGCTTCCAGAGCTGTCCTTAATAGCATATAAAGGAGATGTCTCGAACATCTCTTTGTTAGCTTTAACATTTCCACCCTCCACAGTAATCTTCTTTTCAGAAATCGCCTCCTCAGACTGAGCAATTTTGCTCAAAGGAATGGTTTCAAAAAGTTGTTTGAATCCCTTGACGTCCCCTTTTTCGATCTCTTGCTCCTTGAAGAAGCTAGTCTTGTCAATAATGCTGCTCTCAAATATTTGTTTTTTCCCCTTTACTGCGCCTTGTTCTTCGGACGAGAGCGTTATTTTCTGCAGGCGCCCGACTTCACAGCTATCACTCAGCGCGTCCATTGGCTGAGTTTCAAACAGCCACAGAGAAGTCTTGACATCTCCCCCTATTATCGCCTCCTTTTCCGGAGACTGTTCCGCAGCATCTCCTTTTAGAGTTGCCAACGGTTGCGTCTCAAAGAGCTTTCTTTTGTTGATGACATCTGCCTCTCCGGTGTAGTCAGGCACGCTTCCTTCAAACCTGTCTACTCCCAGAGCCTCTTGAATGGCATCGAATGACTGAGTTTCAAACATCCACCTCTTTTTGTCGAAGCCTCCTCCGTGCCCCTCCTCAAGAGATATTCCACGTATTATTTTCACTCCATCACTTCCCTTATTAATCAGATCAAGAGGCTGAGTTTCAAAAAGCCATCGGGCAGTGCTGGTTTTGCCAATGCTGATTTCCTCCCTGCATATGGATTTGATCTCGTGGATATTACCGCTATTATCTCTGATGGCACAGCCGGGTTCGGTCTGGAAAAGTTTCACAGTCGTCTGGACATCTCCCTTTAGCTCCTGAAGCTCAGATTTCAATTTCAGGAAGCTATAGTCTTCAATGGAGTTACAACGTCCCAAGTCACTCAGCGGCTTCGACTCGAACAGCAGCCGATTCCCTCTGACGTCGCCCGTCTGGATAGGTTCTTTAAGGACTGCCTCGACAAGTTCCCCCTCCTCGCTCTTGGACTTATTGAGGGAATCCAGTGGCTGAGTCTCAAACAACCACATGGATGTTCTCACATCCCCTCTGACAGAGGTCTGTCTTTTAGTAGACCTGCACTGGGTGCTGTCGATCTGCTCAAACATGGAGGAGGTGCTTCTGACATCTCCGCCCTGTAACTCCTCATCATCCAGCAGCTTTTTGGTTCCATGAGGATCTCCAATATTGTCCAGAGTCCAGTTCTCGAAGATCCACCTCATGGACTGCACCTCACACTGATAGGCTGCGTCTCCGGCTTGAGAGCTCTCAGCCTGCACGGCTTTCAATATCTCGTCATCCACCGCATCATCCAGACTGGCCCGTAGGTCGGGGTGGATGTGTTTGAAGAGCCTCTTCAGCTCACTCTTCTGCCGTTGCTGGTAGAACGTGGAGAAGGTTTCTTTAGGCGGCGGCACAGGGAGGCTAGTCAGTGCCACTGATCCTTCATAGTCAAGGGGCCTTGGTGGTACAGGGGGGGGTGGAGGGAGGGGCAAGTCGTCCTCATCATATGGCGGTTGTGAAACTGTGATTTTGCTGGCTGCCTCAGCCATCTTGAAACAAAAAACAAACAAAAAAAAAACAGACAGGAGTGACGGTATAAGGATCTGCTCATCAAAAACAGGGTCAATTGGCAAAAAATTAGAGGCATGCATGTCAAAAAAGAGCGTGAGCTTTACCTTGCTCTGTGCCTGTGTGTTGTTTTTTCACCGCAAACCATCCTCTGACACGCCATGTTAACAAAACACTTCACAGCTGTTAGTATGCAGACGACACTCACTGTATGCTCAGAGAGGGGCCAAACAATCAGGACCGCACCTTGATCCCAGTTTCACATTCCAGCATTTGATCCAGTTAAACGCTGAAGCAGCCACGTAATTCATCAGAGAACTTATTTTTTTGTTTGAAGTATTTTTGTAGGTACTTGTTCTGTATCGAATAGTGTCTTTTTAAATGATCGGATGCACAAGGGATAAATATTGTGTAGTCAATGCATGCATTTTTTTGACCATCCACTAGAGACCCTGTGGATTCCTTCTAACCCAAATCATGTTGAAGTTGTGACTGTTATCAGGCAGGACTGCAACACAAATGTTATCATGGAATAACCCTACCTCCCCCCCAATCTGTGATTGCAATTTAATTCAGCTCAAGAGTGATGGGGGGGGGGGAAGAGAGACATCATTGTGGACATCATTGAGGCATTAAGTCCCACACCGTTAAGTCATCATGTCACAACAGAAGAAGAGGTGTCATCAGTCATGTGACTTAAGTTGAGCTGTATTTCTTAAAATTCCAATACGTATTTAAATGACAAAAATATGTATTTTATGAGAGATGGTGTCTTCCATCCTTTTGTTTAGTTGTATTTTCTCCTAAAACCCTTAGAAATGTCTCTAGTATGATTTTCAATCTCAACAGGTTAGATTGTTCGGAGTGTTCTGCCTCTCTTCAAAAAGATGTACTTATAGAAAAAATTGCCTCTTCTATATTGATTTTATAATTCCTTTGGACTCTTGTTTAACACCTCATGTGAGCCAAGTCTGCAAACACTGCACACATTGATAGAACACCGCATTCCTTTGTTAGATCTACTAAACGAACTTCACGGTACCTTGTTGTTTTTAGTTCTTGTTCTTGGAGTTCCGATGATTTCCTATTAAAAAACAGAAACAAATGGGGGTCAAAGTTTGATTTGGACAACGTGTAATACATATTTTCTTCACATCCAATTGTCCCACACACATTTATAGAGAACTGGAGATCTGCTTTCAAACGTGGAGTGGCTTCATTGTGTCGGGGCACAGTGGTTGCACCCTGCTAAAACCCTCAATCTCTGTGTGTGGGGAGGAATGAAAAGTATTTCAGGAACTCACGGGCTGTTTTGGGCCTCCTGTGGAGTCAATGGCCGCCGCTCTTGACAGATAGAGAGCTGATCGGTCTCTCACTGTGGAGGAAGTGGATATCCTGTCTCTGGACGGTCTGGTCAGAGTGTCCCCTTTGTTTAACGATGGACTATATTTGTCGTCTGGAAAAGAAAGGAGAAGAGAACTATTTTAATTTGACCTCCATCTTACAGAAAATATGTATTATATACATTATAAGACAACTGCAAAGTTAAGAGTATAGGGAAGGGCAGGCTATTTTCATTTTAGATTTGATAACAGACACTTGTAAAGGAAGGATATGATTGTATCCTAAAATAAGGCTAACAGATTGTGTCTAGTGTCAGCCGCAGGTTGAATGATAACAGCATGGCTGTGTATTTTTAGTTGCTGCAAGTGGATGTATTTATACTTCATCATGGTTGCTTCAACACTTTTGCATCTTGCATGAATAGATTAAACTATGCTTAATCTTTACGAAAAAAAGAGAACATAATAGACAGGCTAGCTCCTGAAGGCTTTGATCCTGAGGGCCAACAAGGTAACCGGGCCCACACCAGGCTGCATGCCACGGGCTGACCATGACGCCCAGCAGGAAAAGAAAACAGCAACTGCTAGCTCAGCTGGAGTGACACCGATTGTGTGCGCATTGTTTTTATGAGCTCTGTGCCACCGAACCGTCAACACCTGACCAGAGGAATGTGACCGCCTGACCCGGTATAAAACATGGAAATGATGACGCGATCCGCATTTTTAAACTCGTTTCGGTTTGTTTTGTGCTCAAAAACATATGTTCTCAGTTTGTATTGTGTTAAATGAAAAAATAAACAATAATTCAAAATGGGTATATTGCACATATTTTAAATGCTCCCCCAAAAAAGATGTCATGAACGTTGTTGTTGGTACTGTAGGTTCAACAGTCCGGTATGTTGTCCAGACCATCCATCTGGAACTAATAGCCAGATTTAATTGAACCTCCCCTTTTCGCACACTAAGCCCTCGTGGGACAAAAGCACTGACCAGCGAGCTGGCGCCTCTCACGAGTCTGGATTTAAAGCATTTTCATAGATGGGTGAGCAGACAGAATGAGGCAACCGAGGGCCCTGCGTGTTTTGTTGAAGCCCTCACCCGCTAATGCTAAACTGAGAGGTCCCTCCTCACCCTCGTCCTCACACACGCCTATCTGCTTAAGCACTGATTTGTGTAACCCAGATTTTTTTTTTAAAGAAAAGACAAAAAGATCTAATGTTATTTGACTTTTGGTAGCCTAGCTGCTTGTTTTCAGAGGTTCCCACTCTTCAGGGGAACGTCCTGCTGACAGCTCTTTGATCTGGGTTAATTCTCCAGGAATGACGAGGAGCTATTAGCGGCGCGGCGATGGGCGGGCGTTTTTAGCTGGCAGCTGTGCGAATGGCGGTGAAATGCGGTTGGTATTTTGTTCCTCGCCACCTCCACCGCCATCAGCTGTTGCCGATTGTGGCCACATTCACAGACTGTAAAGAAAACCAGACGGAACACACCTCTGTGTGCTACACCCAACAATAACAGCCACGTTTTACAGTTCCGGATGCTTTCATGACAGAAATACTAGTCCTTCTTTTTAGGAATCATCACTCTGATGAGTGACGGATGTTGATTGAGCTTTTTAACCTCCCGGTCAGCATTTATCAATAAGATATGGTAATAAAAATGTAAAACACGTAATGACGAACAACTTGCTTAATAAATATACCGGTACCTCTGTTCATCAATCCTTCCGCCCATACATATCAATAGTTAATTAAACATCTTTCATAGTTAACAATTTCATCCCTTCAAAACTGGCATAATTTTAAACCACACGTTTTGAAATCTTTATCTCTCGTACGAGGCGGATTTCAAAAACCGTCATTTCACACCCTCCTATAACTTTCCGTATTCGAACAGATCTGAAGCGGACTTACTAAAACGCGGTCCGGCGTTGTTCTGTCAGTGTCCCCGTCCCGTTTTTCAACAGACTCTGGAGATCCCAGTGATGAGTGCCTCAGCCTGTCTCCTCTCTTCCAGCTCGTGGGGACTGAACTCTTTCTAGTGCTGTGGCCTCAGTGACAGCTGATTTTTATCTGGGCCCTCCGTCCAAGAGGAGGACCCTGGCTATTTTGGGATGGTGGGCTGGCTGCTGCTAAAGGCCTGAGTCAATTACCTCTGTTGGTCACCAAAGCACTGGGACACCGGCCACCCCCCCCTTTCCCACAGCTACATTGTCACCCACTAAAACGGGCGCTGGGTGGGACCAGCGGGGTGTCAATGGTCACTCTGTCATAACGTAACACCCCGGAGGATTTGGACAATGGGCTCAGGCTGGAAAGGCGTGCGTGTGTGTTACATGTATTCCTCTGTCTTTGCGCTGTCTTTGTCTCAGCGGCTGAAATGAAGAACACCTCGGCGACACGTCTCGCTTTTGGAAGCTATCCGGTGTCCGTGGATGACCACTCACACCCCTGTCATTCCTCCACTCAACGCGAAAACATCACAGGGTCACTGCATCTGAACGCTGCAGCCATATGTGTCCCAGGACTCTGTGAGGGATGACTCAGAAGACTGAGATCTGAGTCATGATCGGGCCAGTAGCGACAGCCTCACTGCTATCTTAAGCACATGTGCCGGACGCATAGCTATGCTTTTACACCGCTTCCTCCTCGTCTGTATTTAGCCTCTACCTTCCCCACGAAACAGCACATGGGTTACTGATCTCCAAACCCTTGGCACGGCAAACCCCTTCAAATAATACAGACTTTGATTCGGGCATGTTTGCTCTCTGGGAACTTCACATAGAATCGTCTGATCTGCTGGATATTTGTGGGAACGTTTCAGCACTGTTGTCAGACAGAAGCGGACACATGATTTGTCTTTTTAAGCATGGACAGCTGTTACGAGCCGTGAAGCCAAAATATGCCCATAAATCACAGCTTTGAGTGGCCGCAAGCGCCGAGCCCATCTGCTGTCTTAGATGTCTGTGGGCACAAACATGAAATCAAATCCCTCTGCTCACCGTGAGTGTGTCTGGACGCTCTGTCGAAACCCGCCGGGAGTCCATTCATGACATTTCGTCCATCCACTTGTGCTGTTCTCTGTGGATCAACAGATATTTAGTTGTCAGGTGGGCATTTTCTGGAGGTTTGTGTATTTGGTTTCTCGATAAGAATGTGATGAGAAAACAAAATCTCTGTATAAACTGATGAGTTTAGATCCAACCTTTCCTCTCTCTCAGGGCTCAATAATAATTCTCAAAACTTGCTGAACATCTTTTAAAGTTTTAAAAGGAACGTGGGTTTCTTCCCATTCAGTTACAGACCAATTCTGGTTTGCCATTCTAATGAGAATTTGAATTTTTCTTCATCAACCCATTTTGAACTAAACTGTGATTCATTTTAGTATAAAAAGGCACAGAGGGATTAACCAGTTGTGTCTACATAACATAATTAGCTGGTCTATCTCAGCATGGCGTGCAAGATCAGAGACTACTGAGTTCGAAAGATAAAAGAAAAAAGGAAAAGTGACCGATCTACTAAATATATACAGCAGGAGAACATTGTTTCAAAGAAATAGGAACAAATTCAGCCAAGACCTGATATAAAAGGAGAAAGATGTAGCCAATTCGTAGATGGGTCAATTCGGTTGACCCATCTACTAGGTCAGGATTAAGAAGCCTGGAGAACTACCCCTGAAGAATAAGTGAAGAAATGACGGAAAGTGAGAGTGTGCTTAAAAGGCTTTAGCCTGGGTTAAAGAAAAGAGTTGAATATACTAATAACTGACTTTCAAGATGGTATGAACTCTTTTGTTACTGTATTTCTAATGATATTTAGTATTTTCTTGACTATTTCTATTAAAATGAACAATGTCTTAAGACCTTTGCACACTTCCTTACCATAATTCTCAATCTATTTAAAAAGAAAATCAGGATATTTGATGACACCTTGCACACGCAGTACACCAGCAAACAGGCCCGATGCCAAACCGAACAATAGCAAAGATCAGTCTTTATATAATGCTGAACAAACTACTCGGGTTCCCTGGTGTGCTGGGCTACCGTGTTCTTTAGCACGGTCTGATTGGAAACAGTCCTGAGTGCTTGGGCTCACCTGAACTGGCGCGTCCCTCGGGGGAGCGTTGTGGCCTCTCCTGTCCTGCAGAGGGCGCTCTCTCCCCGTTTTCCTGCCGTCTGTGGACTCAGTGCTGAGCTGAGGGCTGCTGCTGGAGTCCTGCTGCAGGGCGGCCTTAGACTCGAACAGGGCGCACAGAGCCCTGGTGCCAGGGGTCTCTTTCTGGGGGAGGAAGTCCATGGAGCGGCTCCTGGACAGAGTACCGCTTCTTCCTGATGTCCAGAGCGGGGCGAGCCCCCCGCTGTCCGGCCTCGGTGGGCGACCGTCCACACAGCTTCCAGAGGCCTGGAGACAACAGATGTTTTTCTCTCCCTGTTTCTCTTGGTGTTGACATTCATCAAATTAGAGTGGTGCGATAATTACCTTGAGGTTTTGCTCAGCTCTTTTAGAGCTTCTCAGGTCGGCACAACTTTGGTAACTGTCAGAAGCAGAATGATTGCCAAATGTGAGGATGGGTGCATTTACCTCAAATGTATCTACGTATGTGTGTTTACATGAATTCTGCCAGAAACAACTTACTGCTGAACCAACTGAGAGACAGACTTTCTGTTCCAGCTTGTTGAAGCCGGCATGACCCATGACCTCTCCTGAGACCCAGACAGGGTCCTCAGGGACTGAGTCCTTCTCAAGCCAAACGGCTCCATTGTAGTGCTTTTAACAGTCTACTATAAGGAAAGATTCGTACCATTAAAATCACATGATATTAAACTTCTTCCTGTCCACCAAATCTACTGTTTAAACACAGCACACATTTGGAGCCGAGCATTTCAAAGCAACAAACACTTACTATCTAATTTATCATTCAAACTTAGATTTAAAACATTCAAAAACATAATCCCTTAGTTGGGCTTTAAGTGTCCGTGGAGTTATTTTATAACAGGTCGTAACACCAACAGTCATATGACCCTGTTAATGTTTATGAACTCCAGAGAAAATCCAAGAGTATTCGTCGCTATGAGTGTGCCTCTGCAGAATAAACGATACATTATCATTAAAGCTCATTCACTGATTATAAAAGAAGAAACTGCAAAGAGGAAATTGCATTTTCCAAAAGCCAGTCCACACGTTTTCCTATTCAAAGAGAAATACGTCTTTTCATTTGCATTCTGTAAAAGTCAGATAAAAGATACACAATTACAGAAGAATTAAGTTAGAACCTTTTCTACAATGTCCTTTTAAATACAGTGCTGTTTTCTCTCATGCACAAAAACTGAATCACAGCTGCTTACCTGAGGAGAAGAAGGAATCACCTGTGCATCCCTGTCGTTCTGCTTTACTTGTGGTTTTGGAGCATCTCTCACGAGACACAGCAATTTGTAGTGGCCAAAGTCCTTCAACAACTTGTGATCCGAGCTCTCCGGATATGGCATTTACCACTGTAACATCACTTGAGAAACTGGTCTTATAAAGAGCAATAAAACACAAGATAGTGACTTAAATAAACATTTTAAAAGCAACTACTGTATGCACATATTAACATCTTGATGTACCAAATTTATTATATGTGTAAAGCATATACAGCATATACAATCTATTTATATATCCATGCAAGTGTACAATTAGAAGTGCCCAGAGTTTTGAAACACAGCATTTAAGCAGTCAGAAACCAGAGTGCAGTCCAGTGAGTCTGAGTCTTTGACAGCTGGTCTAAACAGATGCTGCCATTTTGAAATGCCTGGCATTGCTGCTCTCCAACTGTGTCTCATGCCAAAGCTCAGAGCAGCAGCACGTTATCTGCTAAACACGCATACCTGCTCATACGCGGCTGCAGCAGGAGTAACCCCTCATTCATAATGCACACCGGTGCTCGTCGACACGCTGAAACACATGGCGCCGTGTGAAGACGATCCAGACCTTTTTCGGACACAGAACCGACCAAAACACCAGGAACCCTGGCATCCCGTGGAAGTCGGCGTACCGTCCACTGGTTCCCAAAGGGAGCGACTGCACTTCCACTCATGTGTTGGCACATTGACCTTTATATCTTGCAAGCAGCAAGTCATAAAATTTCAATTATCTCATTGTTTTTAGTGCAACCAAACGATTGCACCTATTAAAACGCTCTGACATTTAATCTCTGCACGCTGAAGCATTGAGCAGTAAATCAGAAAGATTTCTTTTTAGGAGGTTAAGGTTAACAAACATGAAACAAGTTAAAATGTCAAATATTTCTTTCACAGGATAGGAACAGGAGGAATGACAGTGCTAATGTTTCTGTACAGTAGCCACTGAATGCGAACACTCCCGGTCAACCTCTGTGTTCACCTGTATTTTATTCTTTACCGTATCAACAGTAAAAGCAGGTATCCGGTCTGGCTATGGGAAACTTATTTGTTGTGGCATTTAAAAAGGAGAAGCTGGAAAGAAGAAGTTGTGATTTGCATTTTCAAACTTGAAGCCTAATCTTGATTCTTTTAAAGTGCTTGAAGGCAGTTGCTCCTCTTTTGTGCAACGCCACTGGATCTGTGGTCATCTGCGGTTCAACTTTTAATGAACTTTTAACAACACTTTCAGACCAAACAGGTCAAAGTTTAAAGGTTATCAGGAGAGGGGGGGGGGCTTTTTGAATCTGCAAGAGCTTCTTTTTTCTGGTTGCATTCATACTACATTTTCTGTATGCATGACAAACAGCTACACTGCCTCATTTCTTGCAAAAGTCAATTTGGACTCTTGCAAATAGACAATTCAATTGTCTATTTTCAAGACATTCATGTGTTTGGAGGAGAATGGAGAGAACCAGCGCACATGCTGGGAGAACATCCACACAACATATGGCCCTTTTATAGCAACTGTAGCAGATCTGCCATGGGGGGGGATTTATGCATCATCTTGGCCAATGAATTAAAAAAAAAAGAGAGAAGACTTTTTTGTTTTCAATCCTTCGCATGATTGCGTCACCTACTAACCAGGAGATGGTGCCAGAGGAACATGGCTCCACCCATAATAAATGTGGTTTAAAGGCATTCCGTCCTGCTTGTTGACAGAACAATGTTGTGTTTCCTTTCCATTTTTTTCTGTCTTTTCTTTTTCCTTTATATTGCAATGTGCATTTTTACCTGTCACACCTGTTAAGGCCATGCACACACAACACAAAACACTCAACAGCAAGATAAGAAACACCGGGCTTTTAACACCATCCCAGGAAGATGAGAGGCCCATCCTAAGCCTAACAGTTGTGTTGTCGGCTTCTTACACATGTGTTTTGCCAGCTGCAGTGAAAGGGGAGAGAGGGGGAGTGGGGATCCACACAGGACTCGCCCACACGCGTTCGGCTTCGGCACAGAGCAGTCAAAACTGGGTTCAACAGCTGAGATCGGAGCCGGTCTCCTTCCTCCCGCTGCTGCCTGCTCCTGCGAGAAAAAAAAAAAAAAAAAAAAAACTCACATGGAACCACATGTGACAGCCGCCACCGACAGCACGGCCCGCTGTGCTGGGACTGGAGGGGCTCAGGAGCTCCCAGCCAGGGGCCGATGGCCGGACCCAGTCAGCCAAGAAGACATGACAACACACACACACACACACACACACACGTTACGCACTGGTAGAGATGCCACGGCTCAGACATTAAGACGTGAATCTCTGCCTGCCGATGCGTTTCACTTGAATATCCCCGTGCAAAAAACGGCCCGTGCCCCTATGCGGCCTCGCACAGGCCGGCTTGTTAGTTTAGAAGAAAAGGTCACCACAGCTCTCTGCTGACAAGAGGCGCATTGTGCAAGCAGGGAACGTCGGAACCCAGCCGCGCATCTGCCGTGGAAGCCTGAGTCGCTCACATGCAGCTGCAGATAAGATCACTTCTGTTGGAAGTCGTACTCGTGTAACCCACTTTGTGCAGCTGTACGCGGGCTGGGTTTTGTAGCGTTTGTGAAAAATGGAGTGTTTCACGTTTACGAGGGAGTCGAGACGCTTTGCTTGATTCTGTACGTTTCCCTTTCTTGGATGACTTTTAAAACGCTTGACGTGTTGCTCAGAGAGCAGTCCCTGGGCTTTGAAAGGTTGTAGCCCGTCTTGATTCTGCCAGAGAAATGATACACCTGGCACGGGTCCAGACTGTGGCATTACAGACACACAGGAAGCTCTCCAGTGTCAGCTCCTCCGAGGTGATGCCGCAGACAAAAGAACGGCAGTTGTCACTTTAGGTGTCAGCAAGTGGGGGATTTCATCGACTTCTTTTTAATTTAATGACACTGAAGGTTGAGTAGGAGTTGGTTTAAATGCAGCGGAACAGCAACAATATCACCTGCTCAGATTATTTCCGTCGTGTTTAGAGGAGTTCCGAATATTTTGGAGTCTGAGTCCCAAGAGGTCCCAGCTGCTGGTAAGTGGAGCTACGATCCAAATGAGCAACTGGGGAAGTTTAACAGAACAAGTCAAAGCAAGAAAGATTCACCAGCAGAGCCCAAGTTTTTACGATTAATGCTCAGGTTTTCTTTTTGTCCTTAAATTGATAGAAATAAAGACAGTTATCAGTGTGAACGACTTAGTTCTGCGTTAGTGAACTCTTAACTACCTTTCATATCTTAACTGTATGCGCTGTTGATGCCACCAAATCTAATTTTTTGTGATCTTCTCTGTATTCAGAGTACTTTTTTACAATGTGTTAATTCTCACACGAGAACACAGTGTGAGTGTGTGTGGGCGTTTGTCTGTGTGTGGCCCTGTGACGGGTCGTCAGTCTGTGGGCTATTTAACCGGATATGCAGCAGATCTTTCTGGGAGTTGGACTCAACCCAGAAGGTGTCGATGCTCCACGAGACTGAACTAAGGAGCTTAAAAGGCCCAGAGGACAGAAAAGAACTGGCATAAATATGAGCAAACCCTGAGCCGTGAAATAGGGGACTAATGACTTCAAAGATGCTAACTGTTGATGATGAGGAAGGCAAACACGCTGCTGCTGACAAAAAGAAGTGTAATGACTCATTGTCTGGCCCCGAAAATAGAAACACCGGAGCTATATTGCTATATTTGCCCTTGTGACCATGGTGACGACTGTCTAAATATGACATCAGAGGCTATGCATAAACTTATGAGGGGAGAGGAGAAGGCTATCTATCTATCTATCTATCTATCTATCTATCTATCTATCTATCTA